TCCAAGGGGTGAGTGAGCATGTCGGAAAAGAGCAGCTCCTGATCCAGCCACCAGGCTCCTCAGAAGTGTTCTTCTGTGCCAGTGATCAGTGGGGAGGGCAGGGGCTTGGTAAGAACTCAGTTGTGACATGGTTCTGTTGGGATGCGCAGTTGCTCCACATCTACCATCAAAGGAAGAAACAGGATAGGGACTTAACACTATACTTTGGTGACAAATTTTGTTGTTGGTTTCATAATAAATTGGATTCCATGTTTCATTGTATCTCCGTACTGAACCACTAAGTTCAAAATAGACCAGCCAGGTCAGTTATAATTATAAGCATTAACTACTAGAAATTCTCAGAGTCTCTTCCTCTTTGGAACCCTGTTATCCCCTAGGTTCCCCACCTTGGGAAAATGGGAATTTTAAAAAAGGAACTAGCTGAACTACCAGATACACGTTCTTCAGAACTACAACCTGAAATGTTGCTTCCATAAAACTTGTAACAATTAGCCCTTTTAAACACAAAATGTCTCTTAGATTAGTTAAATCTGTGGTACTTTTTTCCATGTCAGCCACAGCTATCTCCCTGCATGTATGTTTTGAATATGGCCTGGTCATCAAGACATTACTCAAAGAAATAACTATTGCTGTCATCCCACAGCAAATCAGTCTTGGTGAGTTTTTAGATCCTTAGGCTGTGAGAATTGGGGGAGATTTTATTTTATTTTTATTTTTGGTACGTGCCCCTAGTGAGAACTGAACCCGGGATTCTCTGGTCCGCAGGCCGATGCTCTAACCGCTGAGCCAAACAAGCCAGGGCTGGAGGAGATTTTAGAGGTTGAAGTCACCTTCTCTTTTTACAGATGAGAGAACCCAGAGCATGGAAATTTAAACGATTCCCTCGAGGTTATGGCACTAGTGTTTGAATGTCGAGGCAGTGCACCTCCACAACAGACCATGACACCAGGACACCCACAGTCAGATTCAGAATGTGCTCAGGGAATAAACTACCAGTAAACTGCTGAAATAAAAGCATAGTGTCTGCAAGGACTAAATAGAAGAGTTCTTAATTTTTCCCTTTTTTTAAATCATATGCTCTGCTGGTGTAGACAAAATGAACAGGATAACATACTTTATTAAGCATGAAAAAGAATAAAAATTGTCAATAAAATGTAACCCCAATTGTATACCCAAGAAAATACTGGCCACATCAATTTTAGTGAAACCAAACATTTATTTAAAATTGTTAGGAAATTATACCACTTAAACAAGTTTTTAGTCTTTTATTTTTAATATCAAGTCTATCTCTGACCTTGTTTCATTGTACACGGGAGACCAGCAACGGGTGTTTGTTGCACACGAAGAAACGTGGGCAGCAGTGAGAGGAAGCTCTCTGGTTTCGGAAAGGCCTTGTTTCCCTTGGATGCTTTTGCTTAAAACCCAACAGCCAAATGAGGAAACTGTAAAAGCAGAGCAAACAGTTTCAGTACAGATGAACCCTTCTACTCTTAAAATTTGTACACATATTGATTCTGGCTTGATCTCTTGACATTTACATTAACCAAAATGTCTCATCACAGCCCTTCGAGGTTCTTTCATAAAATCTGAATTGGAAGAGCTACTAGACAGATAGACCTCATTGTGTGTAGCTCTTCACATGGATCATTGCTAAATAGTCCCCTGGCTTTGTTTGAGCACCTCCAGTGACAATGGATTCACTACCATTTAAAGGAGCTTGTTCCATTTTGCAGACCATTCAACTTGTTAACAACTTATGTGGCATCACCCACTGGGCCTAGGTACATTGTTTGGAGAAGCATTGAAAATAAGTCGTCTTCTACACAGCAGTTTTCTACATGTTTGAAGATTGTTCTTAGGTCTCCTTTGGGTCTTCCGAAAGCTGAATATATCCTGAATTCTCCAGTTGTGCCTTACATCACCACTCACTGAGTGCCTTGGATCACAGAATTCTAGAATTGGAACTCAGAGCAGCCACTATGTGGGGTGTTTTCTAAGGGTCAGTGTGCTAACATTTCACAACCAGTATTGCCCTTGAATCCTTATGATAACCTAGTGAGACATTACTATTATTATCTCCATTTCGGAGATGGGGAGACTGACACTCTGAGAACACGGAGTTAGAGGTGGCAGACTCAGATCTGTCTGAATCCAGAATGTGGAATTTGATCTCATTATACAGATCAAGAAAGGGAGCCACAGGGAAATAAAGTAACTTGCTGGAGGGCGCCAGCCAACCAGGGATGAGCTAGGACCAGAATTCAGATCTGCCTCTTAGAGCAAGGCTCTGCATTGGGCCTCTCCAAGAGAAGAGGAGTCATTGGCGGGATCCTCATCTGTTTTCCTACTTTGCTTTAGAAGTGAGCTCTTGCCCTGGCCAGCTGGGCTCAGCGGCAGAGTGCCGGCCTTCAGACCAGTGAGTTTCGGGTTCGATTCTGGCCAAGGGCACGTACCTCGGTTGCAGTTTGTCCTGGGCCGGTCGGGTGGTGCGGGAGGTCACCAGTCGACGTGGCTCTATCAAAATCATGTTTCTCTCTCCCTTTCTCTCTCTCTCCCTCCCACTCTATCTGAAGATAAATGGAAAAATATCCTTGGGTGAGGATTAAAAAAAAAAATAGAAGTGAGCTTTCATTTTGTTTTGAACAAGCATTTGTTGGCCCCTCACTGTGTGTCTAGAACATTTATTTTCAATCAGAAGCAGGGGTGATACTGGTACAACAAGACTTGGTTTTGAGAATTTTGTGTAAAACAACAGGAGGAACTTGACACATTTTGTCATGATTTTGTGCCAAAAAGTGATGGTGTTTGTATTTCTTGGCAATAACATTATTTTTAAAAGAAACCGCAAATACTTATGCAGAAGCCAATGGAGGATCTTCAGCACATTGCAGCCATTCCAGAATCCATCCCATGTGCTTCATCCTATCATTCTACTCAACTCTAGAACATCTCTTTTATTGTTTGTTTGTTTGTTTTTTATCCTCACCCGAGGATATTTTTCCATTTTTTTTGTACAGATAGAGTGGGAGGGAGAGAGAGACAGAAACATCGACGTGAAGGGACACATCGAGTGGCTGCCACCCGCACGACCAACCAGGGCCGGGGACAAACTGCAACCGAAGTACATGCCCTTAGCGGGAACCGAACCCGGGTCTCTCCGGACCGCAGGCCGACACTCTAACCACTGAGCAAAACCGGCCAGGGCTAGAACATCTCTTTTATTGCATCATTTCCCCACAGAAACCTCTGGGAGCTTCCAGCAGCCTGAAGGATGCTTCGGGGGGCTCATCCTCTTCACCCACTCTGCTGAGCTCGGCTGCTTCGTGCCTCTGCTGTGCTTGTGCTCAGCATTCCCCTTGCTCACAATGCCTGTCACCTGTCGCTTGGCCAAATCTAAAACAATTCCAAGTTCCATTTTCCCTGACTTCCCCAACTCATGACCTTCCCTCTAATTCGTCCAACAGCTACTGCCAGGAACACTCTTTAGTACTTAATAGGTAGAACTGCACATGTAAAGATTCAGTCCAAAGTGATTAAAGCCCTGGTTTCTCTACTTATACCTCCACACAATACTCAGAATGGGCTTATCCATGGTAGAGTTGCAAAAAAAAATAAATAAAAGCTCCTTTCTTCAGAAAGGTTAACTGTGGAATTAATTTTAGTAAGTGAACATCAATGGGTCCTTGTGCTTTGGAAAGCAAGACATAAAATCTATGGTTTATTAAATTGAAATAGTTGAAGGAAGCAATTCCCTTAGTAAAAGCTCATGAAAAATTGTGTTATAAAGTAAATTTTTGTAAATCAGTACATGGGTTAAGATCATTGTAATCTATAGGGAGATAGAAGATTAGTGCATGCGGCTCCTTGAGACCTAGGACTATATTTTATATAGATTTGTTTCTCCAGCCCTTTACACAAGGGCTGTGTCACATATTAGGTAATATATTTAATGGAATTAGTGAATGAACAAGTGCAACTTACTACAACCATCCAAGGATGAAATAGGTGCCCCATCCTAGCAAGTGGCCTAGAAAACCAGGTACAGGTGTCTCTTCCAATCCTCAGCTGTCTGGTTCTATAAAATGTTTCTGGATGATATATACATATATATATATATCACCCCTGGATTTATCAGCTTTGGAAGTTTTCAATTCTTTCCTCTTTAATGGATATTTGGCTTTTTATTTTTATTTTTATTTTTTTATCCTCACCCGAGGATATTTTTCCATTTTTTGTACAGATAGAGCGGGAGGGAGAGAGAGGAAGGGAGAGAGAGAGAAACATCGACGTGAAGGGACACCTCGAGTGGCTGCCACCCGCACGACCAACCAGGGCCGGGGACAAACTGCAACCGAAGTACGTGCCCTTAGCGGGAACCGAACCCGGGTCTCTCCAGACCGCAGGCTGACGCTCTAACCGCTGAGCCAAACTGGCCAGGGCGATATTTGGCTTTTTAAATGCAAGCTATAAGTTTTATACTGATGACTACATGGCTCTACTCAGCTGTAAGAAAGTAAATCAGAAGATTGGGAGGAGAAATAGTTTTCCAGTATCTCTGTGTCCTTGGAGCCAAACGGACACCAATTCAAATTCCTCCGGTTCCATTTACTACCTCTGTTATTTTGGATAAGTTACTCTTAATCTTTCAGATAGGAACACTTACTCTTGAGCAGGGGATGTTGCAAAGATAAAATCAGATAGTGTTAAAAAGTATCTAGTACAAAATTGGAAACAGTAGCCTTGCAAAAAAAAAAAAAAAAAAGATAGCTATTATGCTTACACATTCCTTCATGGTTGGCTAAACACCCAGTAATAAACTTTCACATTCACATTGTAGTTTGCATTTTACCGAATATAGTGACAGACATTATTATCTCATCTGATCTTCAAACAACCCAATGAGGTAGAACGAAGCTTACTGTTTTTATTTTACCAGTGAGGTGGAGGAACTCGCCTGTGTGATACCTTGCAGAGTGGTGACCGGAATCCAGGACTTCTAATCCCTGGTGCACACTCTGCTGCTGCAGTGACGTGTTAGGTGGGGTTCCTCAGATTTCCTTCATTTATTCAGCAAATATTTATTGCAACTCAAGTATTGAGCTGGATATTTGTCCTGATTGTGGTATCCCTCGTTGATTAGCATAGTACTTGGTATATATAATAGTTGCTCAATAAATATGTGTGGAATGAATGGGTGGATTAAGCCAGTTTTCAGAGTCCTTTCACTAGATTACCCAGCTTCTGCTCAAAGGGTAAGAACACTTGCAGGGCATTTGGACGAAACTGTTGGGAAAAGTCAAGAGCCAATGACTGTAGAGAGAAGCTGGTTCAAGATGAGGCAGGTTACACATCACAATGTGGATGACTTTCAGAATAATGACTAAAAGAAGCCAGATGAAGAAGAGCACATGCCTTATGGTTTCATTTATATAAATTTATAGAAGATGTAAACTAGTCTATAGGGATGGGAAAGCAGGTCAGTGGATGCCCAGGGATGGAATGGGGTGAAGTAGGAAGGAAGTAGTTCCAGAGAGCAGGAGGAAATGTTTGATGGTGATGGATATGACCGTTATCTTGATTGTGGTGATGGCTTTTCTAGGTGTAGAATACATTTAAATGTATCAAATTGTAGACTTTAAATATGTGTAGGTCACTGCTAATTATACCTTCATAACGCTATTGGAAGAAGAGGAAGGAGATGAGGAAAGAGAGAAGAGGCAGGTTCTCCCTGTTTTGCCCCTACAGACACAAATGTCAAGGCCCATAATAAAGCTGGTTCCCGATTTCTTTAGTGATCAGCATGTGGGTGAAGAGACTGGCCTGGGACTCAGAAGGCCTAGTTCCTGGTCTTGTTTCTGCCACTCACAAAGTATGATGCTGGGCATTAGCCTGACCTCTGTCAGCCCCAACTTCCCCTTTGTAACAGGCAATGTTGATCCCTGCTTGCCCAGCCTCAGCTTCGACTGGAAGATTACCTAAGGCGACATACATCAGGGTGCGTTGTGAACTATGAGTGTAGATCAAAGGGAAGAGGGCGGTGAGAGACAGTGTCTAGCACATTCATGACAACAAATGCTACAATGTTATCGAGACTCTCGGTAGAAGCTGATTTGTTTGAACTCTGTGTCTTTGACCCCAGACTTCTATAGTACACGTTTTCTTGTATCCACCAGCTATAATTTATCAAGAGTTGTTTTAGATTCAGCTCTGCCACTCAATCACTGTGAGAATTTGGTCAGTCCTGGCTCTACTCTGAGCATCTGTTAGATGAGGGAATTAAACTTGCTGGCCCCTGCGGTCCTTCTGACTCTTGCATTCAGGGTTCTATCACCTTCACGTCAGACTATTTGCCCATTTGACGACTCCAGATGGAAAGAAGTGTGACCAGAGACAGCTCTCTTATTCCTGGCCCTCAAGAACTTGAGGTATCAGGGAAATGGTAACTCTTACCCCCCCCACACACACACACACGTGTACATCATGGATTTGTTCCTTCTCCCATGCTCTTGACTTCATTTTCATTGGTTTTTATTTTACTCTCACAAACACTAAATTGACATACATGCCCAGATATCTTTTTAAGTTCAATCACTCAAAATCTATGACTTAATAGGTTAAAAAAAATCTTACCTCCCAGAAAGCTTGGTCATCAAAATATTTAGCCACATGAGGTGCTCGCCATATTTTGAGGTTTAAGAGTAAACCTGTTTAAATTCACAATAAAATGTTAAACATTAGGAGCATAGCATTTGTTACCTCAAAATTAATCAAAATAGCATATGTCAACTATGGTATCTCAACAGAAATCCTTTTTTCTCCCACAACCAGGAGACAGACAAACTGAAGCGCTGTTCTTCCTGGACCAGCTTAATTAATTCTATAGACACCTTTTAACAGAAACTGGTGACAGCAATATTTCCAAAAGATTTAGGTTACATTGAGAGGTATAGGATAGCCGTGGATCTGACACATTTCCCCAGATGGACTAAAATGGCCCTATGGGATGGTGTCCCTACATAAAAGCTTATCCATTTAAAATGCAAAAGCTACCACGAAGAGTGATTCAAAGTAGGCACCCTTGTTGGTGCCATAAAGTCCCGCCAACCACAGCTCAAGATTCTATTTGTGGCCCTGGCCGGTGTTGCTCAGTGGTTAGGGCATCAGCCCATGCACTAAAGGGTCACAGGTTCGATTCCTGGTCAAGGGCACATAAGTGAGTTGCAGGTTCAATCTCTGACTCTGGTTGGGGCACGCGTGGGAGGCAACCAATGGGTGTTCCTTTCACACTGATGTTTCTCTCTTTCCCCCCTCCCACTTTCCTTCCCTCCCTCCCACTCTCTCTAAAAATCAATGGAAAAAATATCCTCTGGTGAGGATTAACAACAAAATCAACAAAAGATTACGCATGTGTAGTTAGGAAAATAGTTTATAACATTTGCCTCCGTGCCTCTTCTTCTCGTCTGTGCAGCCTCTGCCCAGAGAGCTTGGCCCTATGCATTCCCCCAGCTGCGCAAAGTCTGCCGAATTTCCCAGGATACATGAAGTGAGTGCTTACCTTTCACATGAAGCAGGGAGATGCCATTCATAGATGTATCTGTGTGTTTTTAATGATGATCGGTCCCAATGTATTCAGTAGTAAGATCAACAAGAGTAGGCACATGCATATTCATGTTTTCTTTTTGTTGTGCTTGCCTTAACTGATATTGGCAGGTAAGGTGCAATTAGCACACCTTGGTTAGCTACAATTACTCAGAAACGATCTCTATCGCCGACATGAATCTTCCAGATAGCTGAGGCTTACTCATCACTAATGAAAATCCGTCTAAATACATAAATCCATATTGTCTTCTTTGTCTTATGAGTCATCACTGAACATTTTTAGACTTTTTAAAATATCAGAACCGTTGGTAGGGACATCCACTTATGAAACCGCTATATATCCCAGAGAAGGTAGATGGCTGCTGAGGGCTGTTGGTCTGCTCTCCAGTAGCCCAAGCTTTTTGTGTTCTTGTGTCTGATTTTAGGAATTCCTTGTCCTATGTGAGGTGCTCTGCTTTCACTTCTAATATACCTGTGTGCCTTACCTCTAGGATCCAACCCCACCTCTCACCTGCTATTTCTAGTTTTTCTGAACTGGAAACCCAACAATCATGTTTGATGGAATTGTTTCTTTCTTTTTCCCTTTTTTTAAAATTTATTTTTATTAATTTATATTTGTTACAGATGTTTCTTCTTTTTCCCCCATTGACACCCTTATCCCGATCTCCCCTGTCCCCCCGCCCCCTGCCCCGTCCCTAGCATTGTTGTCTATGTCCATTGGTCATGCATACATGCATATAAGTTCTGTGGTTTATGTCTTCACTCCCCCCCCACCCCCTCTTCTGAGGTTTGTCAGTCTGTACTCTTGTTTTTTTAGGTAGGCCTGTAGTGCTATGAACTTCCCTCTTAGGACTGCTTTTGCTGCATCCCACAGATTTTGTATTGCTGTGTGTTTGTTTTCATTGGTTTCCAGGAAGTTTTAATTTATTCCTTGATCTCCTTGGTAACCCATTCATTGTTCAATAACATGCTATTTAGCCTCCAAGTGTTTGAATGTTTTTGTGTATTTTTGTTGTAATTGAGTTCTGGTTTCATGCCATTGTCATCTGAGAAAATGCTTGATATGATTTTAATCTTCTTGAATTTGTAGAGACTTTGTGTCCTAACATGTCTGCCTTTGAGAATGTCCCATGTGCACTTGAGAAGAATGTATATTCTGTAGCTTTGGGGTGAAATGTTCTGTAAATATTAATTAAGTCTAACTAATCTAGTTTGACATTTAAGGACTCTGTGGCCTTGTTAGTTTTTTGTCTAAAAGAGCTATCTTGTGGTGTCAGTGGGATGTTAATGTCACCCACCATGATTGTATTGCTATTGATTTCTTCCTTGAAGTCCTCCAGAAGTTTTTAAATATATTTTGGTGCTCCTGTATTTGCTACGTATGTTTGCCAGGGTTATATCCTCTTGTTGGATTGATCCTTTCAATATTATGTAGTGACCTTCATTGTCTCTTATCATGGCCCTCGTTTTGAAGTCTATCTTATCAGATATAAGTATTGCTACACCAGCTTTTTTTTCATTTCTATTTGCCTGGAAAAATTTTTTCCATCCCTTCACTTTCATCCTCTGTGAGTCCTTTGTTCTGAGGTGGGTCTTTTGTAGACAGCATATATATGGGTGGTGTTTTCTTATCCAATCAGCTACCCTATGTCTTTTGATTGGAGCATTAAGCTATTTACATTTAAGGTTATTATTGATACTTATTAGATGCCATTTTTATTTTATGTCTGTGCCCCCCCCCTCACCCCCCTCTCTGTTTCTTCTTCTTACAACAGTCCCTTCAGCATTTCCTGCAGAGCTGGTTTGGTGGTGGTAAATTCCTTTAGCTTTTTTTTTTGTCTGTGAAGCTCTTTATTTCTCCTTCACTTTTGAATGATAGCCTTGCTGGATAGAGTAGTCTTGAATTCAGACCCTTGCCTTGCATACTTTGTACACTTCATGACGCTCCCTTCTGGCCTGCAGTGTTTCTATTGAGAAATCAGCTGACAGTCTAATGGGAGCTCCCTTGTAGGTCACTTGCTTCCTTTAAGATTCTTTCTTTATCTTTAATATTTGCTATTTTTATTATGATGTGTCTAGATGTGGGTCTTTTGGGGTTCATCTTGCTTGAGGTTCTGTGTTTCCTGGACTTGTGTGACTTTTTCCTTCACCAGTTTAGGGAAGTTTTGTGTCATTATTTCTTCAAACAAGTTCTCTATTCCTTTCTCTGATTCTTCTCCTTCCAGGATCCCTACAATGCAAATGTTGTTACATTTTGTATTGTCCCAAAGCTCCCCTACGCTCTCCTCCTGCTTTTTAAATTTCCCCCCATTTTCTGCTGTATTTGGTTGTGTTTTTTTCTACTTTGTCTTCTAAGTCACTGATTTGATCTTTAGCTTATAATCTACTGTTGAATCCTTCTAAGGTATTTTTCATAACAGTTAGGTTATTCTTAGTTTCCTCTTGATTTTTATTCATAGCTTCTACCTGTTTTTTTAAGTTGATGTAGTTCCCACTGAGCTCTTCATAATTCTTATTAAGTTGCTTGTAGTTCTCACTAAATTGTTTTAGCACCCTTAAAATTATTGCTTTGAATTCTTTATCTGACAAATTGCTCTCTTCCATTTCCTATAGTTCCTTTTCTGGTGATTCCTCTTTTTCTTTCATTTGGGTGTTGTTTCTTTGTCTTGCCATTTAGCAATCTGGTAGTTCTAGGCCCAGTGAGGGATGTTGGAATGTATAGGCAAGTTGGTGTGTATCAAATAAGGCTGCTGTACCTCCCAGACTGTTTTGGTGTATGGTACCTCTTGCCTGCTGTGGGTCCTGTATCGACAACTGGCAGTTGGTATTGGTCTGTCATGCAGGTCTCGGCTCCCCGAGCATTGCTCCCCGAGCTTGGGCTGGGGCACCGCTCCTGATCAGCCTCTGCTGTTGCTGCCTGTGGTATGTGGGTCCAGCTGGTGCACTGCTGGGGTATGCTGCTTCCTGGTGGGGGTCGGTTCCTGATCAGTCGCTGCTGGGGGCAATTGTCAGCTTCCAGTTTATACCGCTACTGCTGCTACTGTTGCCAGGGGGTGTTCTCAGCTCCCAATCCTCTGCTGCTGTTGGGGGCTGAGGATGCTCTGCTCCTGGGACTTTGCTGCTGCTGGGGGGAAGGGCTCCACTCCAAATCCGCTGCTGCAATTTCAGGGGCAGCAGCAGCTGCCCGAGTCTTGCTGCTGCTTGCGCTGGAGCACCGCTCCTGATCAGCCTCTGCTGATGCCACTGGGGATGGGTCACAGCTGCCAACATGTGCTGCTGCTGCCTGGTGATAGGAAACCGCTCCTGAGCCTCAGCTGTTGTTGGGGGTGAGGTCCCACTCCCACCCAGTCCCTGCTGCTGTGGGGGAAGGCGCTGGGCTCCCAAGCTGGCGCTACTGCTGCTGGGGGGGGGGTGTCTCAGCTCACGTTGGGGGTGGAGGCTCCACTCCCGCCCAGTCACTGCTGCTGTGGGGGAAGGCGCTGGGCTCCCATCCGGCTTCTGTTGTGGGAGACGGTGCTCGGCTCCTGGTCCGTGTGGCTATTGCAGCAGGTACCTGGACAGCGCCGCTGCTGTGCGCTGGTCCACGCTGACACAGGGGCGTCCACTGGTCCGATGGTGCAAGGCATTCTGGTGGACTCAGGTGGCTCAGCCCTCGCCGCTCCGCGTCCTCCTCCCAGGGAAGACCAGGGACCTTCCGCAATGGCAGGGCCTCCCGCCCCAGGGAGAAGCTGCTGAGAGCCGCTTACGGCGGGAGCCGGCTGCTTTCCGTCCACAGCACAGGAGCCTTCTCCCGGTGTTTCTGCTCTGCTCCAGGTTGGCCGTCCACACTCGTGCCCGTCCACACTCGTGCCCGTCCACACTGTCCCTCACTCGCTCACTCACACACTCACCCCCGGCCTGCCTGCTGCCCCCGTCCGGCCTGCTGCCACCTTTTCCTCTCTCGGGATTGTTTCTTAAACAGGATAGTCAGACCCCAGGTAAAGGGGTCTCTTGACAAGTAAAATGCTTGGCTTTCAGAGGGCAGTTGATGCTATTTGGCTGCTTGGGGGCCACTTTCCCCTTCCATTGCCCAAGTTTTTTTTTTAATCACCAGTTCCCTCATGTCCAAAGCTACATGTAAGGAGGAAAGCTCATTGGTTTTAACTCATAAACGGATAATCTAGGTGTCCTTTCCACTATTCTTTTTTTTTTTCTTACATGATTTTTTTTAAAATTAGTTTTTGTTACAGATATTTCTCCTTCCCCCCCCCCACTGATTTCCCCCTCTCCCTCCCTCCTTTTTTTTTTTTTTTTTTTTACTCCATTGAAGCATAAGGAAACCTGTTCCCCACCCCACCCCCACCCCAGGTCCTTTACAAAACAGTGCAAGTCAGTGTCACTTTGGTAATACTGGTGAATGGAAGAAGAGCCCAGGTACAGGATTGCCAGATAAAATACAGGATTCTCAGCTACTCTTGAATTCAAAAAATGGACACCTTATACTTAAAAAAAATTTTTTTTTCTCTTATTGATTTCAGAGAGAGGAAGGAAGAGGGAGAGAGAGATAGAAACATTGATGAGAGAGAACATTGACTGGCTTCCTGCACGCCCCTCACTGGGGATTCAACCCACAACCTGGGCATGTGCTCTGACCGGGAATCTAACCGGTGACCTCTTGATGCATGGGTTGACACTCAACCACTGAGCCACACCGGCTGAACTGGGCACCTTATACTTTTATTTGCTAAATCTGACAATCCTAGCCAGGATAGAATGTAAACGTATGGAGGAAGGTATTTTTCTCATCATACTTAATCACCTCAGACTGTTAAAAGCTGAGGCCAAGTGGTATATTAAGGTAATTCTACACAATCTCACTCTCTGAAATTACCCAGGTAACTGCAAACGGTCCCTTCATACATGATTGAGCTGAAAGGCAGCCAAATAATTAGTCACCATAATCTTTCCATTATACAGAGGAGCCAGACAAGCCCAGAGATGTGATGTGATGTGCCTCGCACCACACAACTCGCTAGCGTCTGCTCATGCTGTTGGGTTTCTTGTTTGGCACCCACTCCCTGCTTAGGGACACAATATATAAGTGTCTAGCCCATAAAAGTTGTTCATTTATAGAATAAAAGTGAACATTTCTGAACAGAATGCATATTTTCGCCTGGCATATAAAATCGGCAAATTAGTGACTCCCCAAGCAAAAACATAGCTTCAGTCCTCTGTTTAAAGCTCTCCAATGGCTTTCCATCTCTCAGAGTGATCCGGCTCCTTGCAACCACTCTGTTCTCAACCCCTGCCCCTCCTTATTTCACTCCATCCACATCAGCTACACTGACCATGTTGCTGTTCCTCAAACATACAAAGCACGCTCCTGCCTCAGGGCCTTTGCACTGCTGTTTCTTCTCATCGAGTGCTCTTCTCTAAAATACGCACATTGTATGTCTCCCTCCTCTCCACTCAGGTCTCTGCTTAGAGGGCGACTTACCAGACAGGCTTTCCCTTACCACCCTTTCTAAAGAGCTGCCCACCCTCATACTGACTCTAGTCTCCCAACTCTGATTTATTTATCCTCACAGCACTCATCACCATGCTACATAATATGCATTTATTTGTCTATTTATTGCCAATTTGACTGTCAGCTCCACGAGATCAGGAAATTGTTTTATTCACAGTTGTGTCTCTAGTGCCTAGGAATACTGCCTGGCTCATAGTAGACATTGAATAAATATTTTCTGAACCAAATAACATTATGGATGTCCTCTGGGAACAAAAGGGAAACATTTTGGCATAAGGATTTCCTTGGCTTTCTGTACAAATTGGGTGAAACCACCAGCCCTGGCCTCGAGAGGCTGCAATGTCCCCACTCACCCCTACTTACAATCTCGGGAAAGTCTCCTCCTTTTCCTGGCCCTCAGAGTTCACACCTATTGCAGGTGACCTTTGAGGGCCTTTCCAGTTCTGAAATGATGTGATTCTGTGTTCATTTGTTTTTTAATCAAAGTCTGAGCCCTTTGCCTCATTTGGCTGGAGCTGAGGAGGTATGTTCACAGGGAACGGGATGGGATCATGCACATCCAGCCACGGGGCAGATGCCTTCTGAACCCGGGCCCTGTGCCTGGGCAGTGGTGGACGGGTGATTTCACTGACCTGTCAGGAGACCAGATACTAGACCCATAGCCACGGACAAGGTGACTGTCCCAGTCCCGATGAGCACCAGGAAGCCGAGCCTAGAAATGACAAAGCAAAGGTGGTCACAGTCAACTTTCAAGCTGCAAGGTCATGGGGACAAAAAGCACTGCTTGCATAAGCAGTGACACTGTCAGGAAGGGCCATCAGGAGAATAAGTGTCCTCTTCCTGGTGGTACATTGCCTTGTCATTTTTCTACAAAGACATGGAGGGGGTGGGGGGATTCCAAGATGCTCTTCGGCTTTACTCCTTAGACCTCATGGATAATGAACTAGACCAGGAGTTAGAAAGACCAAGTTCTTGCCCTGGCCTGTTTGGCTCAGCGGTTAGAGCATCAGCCTATAGACCGGGGAGTCCCGGGTTCAGTTCCCGCTAAGGGCACATACCTCGGTTGCAGTTTGTCCCCGGCCCCAGTTGGGGTCATGTGGGTGGCAGCCACTCGATGTGTCTCTCTCACATCGATGTTTCTCTCTCTCTCTTCCTCCTTTTCTCCCTCCTGCTCTGTCTGAAGATAAATGCAAAAATGTCCTCGGGTGAGGATAAAAAAAAAGGAAAGACCAAGTTCAAGTCCCAGTTCTGCCACTAGTATGTGGCCCCAGAAAAGTGACTTAACCTCTCAGAGGGTGGAGTTTCACTGTTAGGCAGTTAAAGACGAAGACTTTATTTCTATGAAGTCAAGGAGGGGTACAGTCTGGCTGACAGATCCATCTCCCCTGCCCACCCCCCTTGAATATACTTTCCTGTTCACTGTCCTTCAAGGCAACCCAGGACTTCACTTTCAACAATTAAGCATCCCTGGGAGGACATTTACATCACCTTGTAATAAGCCAGGTTTTCTTTTTCTTTTTTTTTTTTTAAGCCAGGTTTTCTTAAACAGCACACATAAGAGCTAAATATAAAGGGAACAATGATAAGTTGGACTACATTAAAATTAAGTTGAGCCCTGGCTGGTTTGGCTCAGCAACTGGAGCATTGGCCTGCAGACCAGAGAGTCCCGGGTTTGGTTCCCACTAGGGGCATATGCCAAAAAAAAAAAAAAATTTAAGTTGAACTGTTCATCAAAAGACACCGCTAAGAAAGTGAAAGGTAACCCATAAAGTAGACGAAGGTATTCTCAATACATATATCTGACAAAGGGTCTATATCCAGAACATACAAAGAATTCCTACAAATCACTAAACAACAACAAAACCCAAAACAACACAATAGAAAAATGAGCAAAAGAACTTGAATAGACATTTCAAAAGAAAAAAGCACTCAAATGTCCTAAAAGCATATGGAAAGTGCTCCACTTAGTCATTAGGGAAATTAAAATTCAAACAATAAGTTTGATGGCTACATGGCTAACATATAAAAGAAGGAAACTATGGAGTGTTAAAAAATATATGGGGTAAAGGGAACTCTTATGTATGATCCAAGAATTCTACTTCTGGCCACATATTCACCAGAGTGCATCCATATGTTCCCCCCAAAACATTACAATGTTTATAGCAGAGACACTAGAGAGTTCCTAGTAGCTCTAAACTAGAAACTGCCCACGTGGTCATCAATAATGGATCAATAAATTGTGCTAGATTCACACAACAGAACACTTGCTTTAACTGTTTTCTTGGACTGTAATTTGTTACTTGTTACTCATTTATCACAGGGCCAAGTCAATGGGCCAAGCTGTTTACCTCTCTCTCTTGCAAGTCAGCTTTTGTGAGAGTGTAAAACTCATATTAAAAGCCTTCCCCCGCCCCCAACCACAAACTCTAACAAGTGTTTTCACTTCCTGCCCACAAGGGGATGTCCCCACGTTACTCCCCCACCACTATACTCCAAAGGCAGTCTCAGTTCCCCTCTCTCTCTGCTGCCTGGTCCGCACATGTGGCCCTGTGTAGTATGCTGTGCCTCTCATTTCTGGAGAAACTGTGAGTAACATTAGATTGTCCTTTCAATGACATTGACCTCTCCATGTTGTCACTCAGTCATCTTTATAAATTAAACTCAAGCACAGTTCAACACTATACCCCAATGAAAATGAACAATCTACAGAGATACTCAACAACATAGCTGAATCTCACCATTACAGTGTTGAGTAGAGGGAGCAGGCACACAAGGGCACAGACCTCCTGTGGGATTCCATGCATATAAAGGACTGATCAATGCTTTTACAAGTCAGATTAGCAGTTACCCTGGGACAGGACATGAAGGAGCTCTGGGTGCTGGTTCCATGAATGCTTCAGAAAATTCATCAAGTGACACTGTAATGATATTTGCACTTTTCTGGCTGTAGACTGTACTACAAAAATGTGTTTGCTTTAATCCTCACCCAAGGATATTTTTCTATTTATCTTCAGATAGAATGGGAGGGAGGGAGAGAGAGGAAAGAGAGAGAGAACTATCGATGTGAGAGGAACACATCGACAAGTTGCCTCCCACACGACCCCAACCAGGGCTGGGGACGACCGCAACTGAGGTATGTGTTCTTGACTGGAATCGAACCCACGACTCTTTGGTCCATGGGCCAGCACTCTAACTGCTGAGCCAAACTGGCCAGGACAGTTTGTTTGTTTTTAAAGTAATAGTAAGTGTCAGAATAGAAGCTAAATCCAAATCAGCTGCCTGCCAACCCACAATTCACTCTATTCTGATTCCATCTTAAAGTAGAAATGGGTGAAGCCGGAATCACCATATGACAGTCCCCACACATAGTGGGCTCCCCTGTGCCAGGCCCTTGGCTCAACGCTTTACCATCTGATTTCACATGAACCAGGCAGGCCTCTCTAACCTCAAAGGCTGGTCAGGTATTTCTCAGATTTCAGCATTTGAGGGTTACTTTCACAAATTTGACCATACTGACATTCCAGAAATACTACTTTTAAAGATTTTTTTTTTTAAAGTAGACCTCTTTTTTACATTTACACAAATGTATTTAAAAGAAAACTTTGTGTCACTAATTTAAGTGAAAGAGAAATGAGAGGTAACTTTAAAAAGATACAATGAAAACAAAATGTAGCTAGAATCTCCTCAAGATGTCCCAAGTCTCAGCCTGAGCCTTCTGCTGCTGTCAATCAAACGGAGTCAGGGGAGTCCGGTCAAGACAGCAGGTAGGTAAACGTAGTATCGCCTCCTCCCACAACCACATCAAAATTACAACAAAACTACAGCACAGCCATCATTCAGAACTGCCTGAAATCAAGCTGACTGGAAGTCCTACAACTACGGAATTAAAGCAGCAGCCACATCGAGACCGGTAGGAGGGGCGGAGGCCAACGGGCTGGTCCCACACCCACGTGTGGTGGATAAAAATCAGGAGGACACCTCGGCTGGGAAGGTCCTCTGAGGACTGAGGGGTCCCCATCCCACACCAGACTGATGAACCTCAAAGGGAAGGGGGGAGGGAGAGTGGGATGAGATAAACCAAAAAACTTCTATGTATATACGCATAACCAATGGACACCGACAATAGTGTGGGGAAGGCGGGGGGGGGGGGTGGGGAGGAGGGGGTCAATAGGGTGAAAAGAAAGAAGCATCTGTAATACATTCAACAATAAAGATGAGTTTTAAAAAACAAACAACAACAACAAAAAACAAACAAAAAGAAAACGGATGTCAGTGCGTGTCCCAAGGGAGCAGAGACACAGCACACTAAGTGGAGACTTTGTCCCTGATACAATCAAAGGACTGAATCAGAGAGAATTGGAAAAGGGCCAGTGCACTCTGTGATTCAGTGTCCTTTAAGTGTGTCTTCACACCTCTTAAAATCCCATAATTTGTGAAAAATACTCCATTCTGGCTTGGAGCACAGCATCTGACTCATTCACATCCACTCACCTGAATAGGAAATTGGCAAGTATTGTTTGTGGAATGAATGAAAGTCAAGTGACTTGCCCAATGACACCACACTGATACAGTAGCTGATCCCTATTTCACATGAAGTATTCCGACTGCCAGCTCACTCCTTTCTCCATCTTTCAACTATATACAGATGCCCCTCTTATGGAAGCAGCAGCATCAATAATCATAAAGAAAGGGGCCATTGTTGAGTGTTTACTGCATGTCAAGCACTGTCCTGAGCCCTTTAATTCTTTAAAAAAAACAATTTCCCTTTATTGATTTGAGAGAGAGAGGAAGTGAGAGGAAGAGAGAGATAGAAACATTGATGAGAGAGACATTGATTATCTGCCTCCTACATGCCCCCCACAAGGGATTTGGCCCACAACCTGGGCTTGTGTCCTGACCAGGAATCAAACTGGCGACCTCTTTATGCATGGGTCAACGCTCAACCACTGAGCCACACTGGCCAGACCCTTTATGCTGCTGAATCTTCACAGCAGTTTTGAGACGTAGATCTTATTATCCCATTTTACAGATAGAAAACTGAATCTTAAAGAGAGTTCGATCAAATACCATGCCTAAAGTCATACGACTGTTAAGTCTGTCTGTCCCTGAAGCCTGTGCCCTTTACTTCCAACAGACCAAAGACCTCCTAAGAGCGGTCATCACTGTCACTATGCCCTTCCCTTTGCTGGGATCCTGCAGAGGGGAAAGAACAAATTCTTGGTCCTCTCCTGTCTTGTCCGGATGAGAGTTGACTTGCAGAGGTGTGCTGGAGCTAGGTCACACAGGCTGGCGGCCCTGTTGTTCTCATTCCTTCCCAACTTCATGTTCAGTGATGTTGCCTTGATGGCTGCCATGTGGGAGTATTAGCACCATAGAAATCAGCAAATGCTCTAAGTCAGGACTTTGTTTTCCTGGAGAACAGGTTGTTAATCCTTTACCAGCACACCATTGGTTGACTTTTTTTTCCCCCTCTAGGCCAGTAATTCTCTAACTCACCTGGAAGGTTTGTTAAAACAGACTGTTAGGCCCTGCCCCCAGATTCCTAATTGAGCAGGTCTGGGTGGGGTAGAATTTGCATTCATTTAAATTTTACTTTTCAATTGCAGTTTATATTCAATATTATTTTGCATTAATTTCAGGTGTACAGCATAGTGGTTGGACAATCATATACTTTACAAAGTGAGCCCCCTGATATTAGAATTTGCATTTCGCCCTGGCCGGTTTGGCTCAGCGATTAGAGCGTTGGCCCACGGACCAATGAATCGTGGGTTCGATTTCGGTCAAGGGCACGATGTACCTTGGTTGCGATTCATCTTCGGTCCTGGTTGGGGTTGTGCGTGAGGTGGCCACTTGATGTGTCCCTTTCACTTCGATGTTTCTCTCTCTCTCTCTCTCTCTCTCTCTCTCTCTCTCTTTCTCTGTCCTTCTCTCTTTCTCTCTCACCTTCCCACTCTATCTGAATAAAAAATGGGAAAATGTCCTTGGGTGAGGAGAAAAAAAAAAAAAGAATTTGCATTTCTAACCACTCCCCAGGTGATGCTGCTGCTGCTGAGACCCACTGCTCCAGGAGAGCCACAGAGTCACAGAATTTGGAATCTAGAAGGACAAGTGGCGCAGACATTCCCAGTTGGCAGCCAGTAAACAGAATTTGGCTCACACAATTTTTCTAATGATTTTTAATCTTTTACCAAAGCTTGGGAGAGTGACTATCATTTCCCACATTAACTTATTAAATTCTCTTAACCACATGGTTTCTGGCCTCAGGCAGCCTCTAACAACCCTATGAGGAGAGGTATTATCATTATCTTCATTTATAATCGAGTGACCGAAGCTCAGAGAAGTTAGGTAGCATGCCCAGCTAGTAAGAGGTCAGGACCAGTGTGACTCCACAGCACACTCTTTACCATGACCTACACCATCAGAGGTTGAGAAATGGATTCAACAGGCTTGGGCCTGATTGCCCTGCTTTGTCTGCTTTTGGGGCCCTTGGGACTGCCTGCCTTTGCCTTGCACCGAAGCTGCTCTCTTTAGAAAGAAGTGGCCTGGAGAGGTGATGACTCCACACAAGTTAGGGGCTGGGCAGAATTTCTGAATAACTAGGCCAACAAATATTCACTGAGGCCTGCTGAGTGTCTGGCCCTGAATGCATGCACCCCAGCTAAGGGCTTTGAGCACATTTCTTCCTGAGTTAGATAGGGTATAAAGGGGGTAAGCCAAGTGACTCACATGGCATTCTTGCTCCAGGCTGCAAAAAATATCGCGAGGTAGGTGATTCCTCCGAGCAGGCCCGGCAAGCCAAAGGTGTAGTGCACGCCACAAGTGTCATGGATGCCCAGCACGCGGTTAAAACACACCTGGAGACAAATGTCATTATAAGCAGATCTACATTTGAGACTGACATTCTCTACCCACCCTTTTTACAGATCCTTGGCACCCGGGGCCACCCAAAGGGGATGGGCTTTAGGGCTCACCTAAAGAAGCACTTCTCGGACTTGGACATGTGCCTACATCACCTGGGGAGCAGGTTAAACTGCAGTTGATTTGAGAGGGGCTGGGGCCTCAGCTTCTGCATTTCTAGCAAAGTCCCAAGGAATGCCAGTTCTGCCGACCGCACTTTGAGAAGAAGGACCTAACCCAGGCACTACTCCCATTTTGAGCTGTAATTTTGTGTTGTGAGTGTGCTGTCCTGTGCATTGTAGGATGTTCAGTAGCATCTTTAGCCTGTACCCTTTAGATGCCAGTAGCACCCCAATACAATGTGTCAACCAAGAATGTCTCCAGATAGTGTCAAATTTCCCGGGAGGTGATTCAGACCTACTGGTCTAGCTCAAACTTAACTGCCATCCAAAGACAAATGGCTGATTAGAATCAAAATCAGAAGAAAAGAATCTGACCACACCTTCAGACTCCCATTCAGTGTTCCTCCACCTCACCACTTAGCCTCCAAGATGGCCACGAGCCAACAGATGTGGATACAAATGAGAATTTGTTCAGGCTAGTTCCCTCCTTAGTTTCCCCGTTGTCTTCAGAATAAAACCCCAGACACCTCAATGAATTCAGGAGATATACCTGAGCACCTGCCGTCTCTCAAGACCCTGGTCCCACCACACTCCCGGGTGAAACCAACGCTTCAGTCATGAGAATGTCTTTCTGTTTTCCGGCTGGGCCATATGTTCTTCTCACTGTGAGCCTTTGAACACACTGCTCCTCAGCCTGAAATACATTTCCCACTTCTTTGCCTGGCGAATATTAGTTCTCTGTCAATGCTCAGCTGAGACATCCTCTGCTCTGGGAAGCATTTCCTGACACATCTCAGGCTGGCTTAGATGTGCTCCTGGAGCAGTTATCATACTGAGTTGTGCTTATTTGTCCATTTTATTTACTCTACTATAGCTTGGGAGACAGGATACATATTAAAACGTGATGAATGAATGAATGCATGTATGCATGAATGAATGAATGAATCATCCTTGACACTCATTCCCCCAGCGATAGAGTCAAGGAAACTGAAGCACCGAGAAAGCGAAGGACTCGGAGCCTGATGATAACTCGTGAATTTCTTGCCGTGCGCTTCCTCCTTTCAGCATAGGGCCTCAAAGCCAGAGGACTTAGGAGACACCTGTTCCCATTCCAAAGATGAAAAGCAGACTGCCCCATCTTTGCTCAGATCAAACTGTTGGTAAATACGTCCTTATCTGCATTTGAAATTGTCTCCCTGAATATCCACTGTCAATCAAATTCAGCTTCCTGTGCCATCCAAAAGTAAAGTCTTCAAACCCATGAAGATCTGTGATTCCTAAGTAGTTTTTAGAAGTGTGTCATAACAAATTGGCTATAATGAAGTATTTTGTATTTTGGTTTTATCTGTGCCATTTGAATATTGAAGGGAAAAAAATCCATCCACTTACAAGAACTAAAGAATCAGACGTGGACATGACCTGGATTATCAACCCAGCATCTTTCTTCTGGTGCTGCCCTTCCTACCCTCATTCTCATGGTTCATGGGCAGCAGCCATGTGTGTACGATGTGCCCTACCCCCTACCTGGCCAAAGATGACCATATGATCCAAGTTAAACCAAGGAGCTCCTTCTTCAAAGAACTTGGAATTGTGGTCAAGAGATGTTACCCAGCTGCTTTCTTGAAGAGAGAGACTACATTCCACTATATAGAGTAGTAGGAGGAGGACAGAAAAGAAGTCTACAGAGTGAGAATACAACAGATACCCAGGAAAAACAAAACAAGAGGAAGATCAGGGACTTCCTGGGCTCCCCCCAATACTCCTGTCCCTGGTGCCAGCCATCCCTGGGTTCCCAGAAGCATTGGGAGCCTGTCCTTGAATTCCGTGACATCCCAGCAGCCTTATAACAAATTCCCCCTTAGTCTGAGCAAGCTTGAATGTGTTCTGTTACTTGCTCCCTAGATCCTAACAAATGTACCATCCCACCTGGGTAGGTTTCTAACCCAAGCTTTGAAGCTAAACTGAGAGGGTGCCAATGCCTGTCCAGTGCAGCTTACGGTACCACATGATGGCCCACCATGGTCCCAGGGTCCTTCTGCTCCAAGACAAAGCAGAGGGTGTTAGTCACCCAGCTCCTTACCGGCAGGCATTTGGCTCCCCCGATGGAGATCAGCCCAGCCACAAGGCCCAGCACCATGGCAATCCAAAGAGAGGAAATCAGGTGACATGAGGCACCCACAGCCACACCTCCCGCCAGCACTGCATTGTGGATATGAGTCTGCAAAGAAATAGCTTGTAAGTGAATGAAGTGAGGCACAGAGAGGGCGACATCTTGCCCAGAGCTCCTCAGCAAGCTGGTAGTAAAGCAATACCGTGATGTCTTCCCTGCTTCGCTCATCCTGAAACCACCCACCCCCCTCTGTGGAGACTACCTGGCCTTTATCAATAGTCTTATCTCATGCCACTTCCCAGGCTCAGGGAGCAGTCACCCTGATTGGGCAGCATTTAGGGGATCAGCTTGAAAGTCCAGTTACTCAGCATTCAGCCACTCTCACACTCATTAGTGAGGTATCCTTGGGCACTTAACAGCCCAGTGCTTCAACTTTTCGACAAGATAATGGGGCTTTGATTATACCTGCTTAATGTAGGTTATTGTAAGAATTAAATGAGTTACCACGTGTAAACCCCTTAGCCCAGTACCTGGCATAGAACATGAGTAAATGCCCAATAAATACAAGCCATTATTATTGTTTTTATTAGTAGTATTTGCTACTTGGTGCCTATGCCTCCTGTATGACTGGACCCAGTAAGCTGGGTCGTGGATCACATCTCTGCTAGGTCCTTCATTCCTCTAGAACTGGGCCGGGCCTTCTCCGATGCTTCGTATCCCTGTCCCCCTGAACTCTAACCAGGTCTAGGAGCTCTGGGCCCTCAGTCCAGCTTCTGGGCTTCCCTGACCTGACGGCCAAACCAGCCTCCCTGGATGACCTCACCTTGTCTGATCCTAGACTCCTGTCACCATGGAGCTCACATGTGGGGACACCTACCTCCCCTTAGTACTGTTAGCCTGTCATCCGTGGCCATACTCTCTCCACTCCACACCCCACTGCCTGCCTAGGTTTTTCCCCACCACCTCTGGCTGGCTGACTCCATGCCCTGACCATCATGGGAAGTTTTTTGGTCTTTAGCTCCACACTCTCACCATCTCCCCCACCCAAAACTCACATCATCTCCTGGCTCCACTGATAATAGCAGATGATGTTTTCCCAGCACTCATTCCATGTGAAGCACTTTACATACACAGTGTAAGTGGCTTCACCAAGGCCATGTAACTAGGTTAACCTCCTTCTTTACTTCTGATTCTTGTCTCTCCAATCTTGACATTTCTTAGGGTAAGGGGAAAGGCTGTTCTAGTCTAGTTTTTCTTCTGCTGACTCTTGCTCATGGTGGCTGGCTTTAATAACTGGCAGAAAAGGGATTCACGCCTGAATCTGTTTGATGTCGATGCTGATGACTAAATCACTTCCCCCAGTAAGCCTATGCTCGCTGCACAGTCTCCTCCAAGTCCCCATCACCCATTTACAACCGAGTGCTCTTCCTTATGTCCACGACACAGCAGCAAGGCTCCACCACCCACCATACTCTCCCAAACTGTGGGGCTGGTGCTGGGGAGAAGGGGCATCTGTGTGGTGGCCCTAGAAGCCCCCTGCTTACCATGTTGATCTTCCCTTGGGGGTGAGCCAAGGCCGACGCAGAGATGGCCGTTACTGTGCTGGCCGCCAGAGCATAGTAGGTATTGCACACGGCATTCTTCTTCTGGTAGGGTATGTCCAGCAGAGCAGAGTTGAAACTCGGCCAGAATATCCACAAGAAGAGGGTGCCTGGGGTGGGGGGCCAGAGAGCGTCAGCACTCCTGCTCCAGAGTCTGAGCCTATGCAGGCTTCAGACAGGAGAAGCTGGGAGCTGGCAAATCTCAGCTTGATCCCTCTCTAGCTATGTGACTTTGGGCAAGTCATGTGTCCTTCCTGAAATCTCAATTTGGTAGGGCCCAGCTCACATACTTCACAGGCAGGGAAACCAAGGCCCTGAGAATTGAAATCACCCAACCCCAGGCCTCCTGACTCCTTCTGTGATGGCCAAATGCTTATTTAAAAAAAATTAGCATGCTGCTTTCATGCAGAGACCTGCTTTCCAGCCGCCTGCTGCCCAGCTCACGGGCTGGTTTCCTCTAAGCCTCGCCCAGCAGTCTGAGTTCATCATTTTCATCGCAGCTTTTCAAAATACACCATTATTACTTTTCAGTTCCCACCCTCTTTCCTCCGCTTTGGGGCACCTCTTTCTCACTTGTCTAATTCCCCCCTTTAAGTTGAGGCCTAACAGGTTGGATAAACTTATTTAGACTCAAATGTAGGGAGTCTTTCCTCTCCTTTGGATGTGAATGAAGAGCCGTACCCTAGAGGGGAAGTCTTCATTCAAAGGTCTGAATTTATCACACACCACTTAAGAAAATGAGTCATTGCAGAGGGCCTTCAGACACCAGGGCAGGCTGGTGACGCAGAGAGATTTCCTGCAGAGCGTTTGCAAGCCTCTTGCTCACCCCAAGTGTGAGACCTCCCACCACCTTGGCCTTACCCAGCATGGCAAACAAACTGGGGATCGTTGTCCTCTTTTCTTTCTTCTTCACTCCCTTGGGCAGAGGTCTTGAGAGGCACCAGGATGCAGCCAGCCCAAAATAGGCTGCAAATACATGGATTTGCATCATGCTTTCATGGTCATCCTCCTGCAACAAAACCCAGCAGGAGCAGTGTGTGTCAGTACCCTCTGCCCACAGGCAAACCCCATGTTCCTTGGAGAAAGTTCTGAGCTTAACACAGGAGGTGTGACTTGAAGTCATGAGGCTGGTGTTTGAAAGACGACACTGGCCATGCAGCTTGCTGGGCCACAACTAGTGGGGCCATGGGACTAAGTCTTTTTATGCATCCATAATTATCTTGTGATTCCTACAGTATTATATGTTGGCAGTTAAAGGCATTTATTTGCTATGTTTAAACCTTTAGCATAGACCACACTTTCGTAACCCCATTTGGGCCTGGCTTTTGTTTTTATTTATTTAATTAATTTTATTTATTATTTTAACTCATCTTTATTGTTGAATATATTACAGATGTTCCCCCCCTTTGACTGCCTTTTTCCCAATCCCACTCCCTCCTGCCTTCCCCACACTATTGTCAGTACCCATTGGTTATGCATACATGCATAGAAGTTCTTTGGTTTATCTCATCACACCCTCACTCCCCCTTCCCTTTGAGGTTCATCAGTCTAACAACCAATTTGTACTTCTTAATTCCTTCATCTTTTTCACCCATCTGGCAAGCAACAAAAAGTTTCTGTATCTATGAGTCTGTTTCTGTTTTATTTGCTCATTTTGTTTGTAGATTCAATTGTTGATAGTTATATATGTATTGCCATTTTATTGTTCATATTTTTGATCTTCATTTTCTTCAAGAAGACTCTTCAACATTTCATATAATACTGGTTTGGTGGTGATGAACTCCTTTAGCTTTTTTTTTTGTCTGGAAAACTCTTGATATGTCCATCGATTCTAAATGATAGCTTTGCAGGATAGAGTAATCTTGGTTGTAGGTCGTTGCTTTTCATTACCTTGAATATCTCTTGCCAGTCCTTTCTGGCCTGCAAAATTTCTTTTGAGAAATCAACTGACAGTCTTATGGGAACTTCTTTGTAGGTAACGGACTGCTCTTCTCTTGCTGCTTTTAAGATTCTCTCTTTGTCTTTAACCTTTGGCATTTTGATGATGATGTGTCTTGGTGTGGGCCTCTTGGAGTTCAACTTGTTTGGGACTCTCTGTGCTTCCTGGACTTGTATGTTTGTTTCCTTCACCAAGTTAGGGAAATTTTCTGTCATTATTTTTTCAAATAGGATTTCAATTTCTTGCTCTCTTTCTTCTTCTGGCACTCCCATGATGCAAACGTTGGTATGCTTGAAGTTGTCCCAGAGGCTCTTTACACTATTCTCACTTTTTTTAGATTCTTTTTTTCTTTTTGCTGTTCTGATTGGGTGTTTTTTGCTTCCTTATATTCCAAATTGATCGTTTGCTTCTTGGCTTTACTAACTCTACTATTGATTCCCTGTAAGTTATTTTTTATTTCAGTTAGTGCATCCTTCATTGCTGACTTGTCCTTTTTTATGTTGTTGATGTTGTCACTAAGTTTCTTGGATGGCTCCTTAAGTTCCTTGAAGGTCTCACTAAGTCCCTTGAATGTCTTGCCAAGTTCCTTGAGCAACCTAATAACCTGTGTTTTGAACTCTGCATGTGATTGATTGCTTATCCCATTTTGTTTAATTATTTTCCTGAAGTTTTGCTCTTTTCTTTCATTTGGGACATATTTGTTTGTCTCCTCATTTTGGCTGTTTCCCTGTGATTGTTCTATGTATTAGGTAGAGTTGCTATGTCTCCTAGGCTTCATAGGGTGGCCTATTGTTGTAGGTGTCCTGTAGGATCCAGTGGCACAGTCTCCCTGATCACCCCAGCTGGGCCCTCAATATGCACCCCTAGTGTGGGCTGTACACTCTTCTGTTGTAATTGAGTCTTGATTGCTATTGGCATGTCAATGGGAGGGATTTACTCAGGTTGATCAGCTGCAAGGCCTGGCTATGCCCACTAGCCATTGTCCTCTGACTACCTTGGAAGATCAGCTGTGTAGGGGTCCACCACACAGAGCAAGACTTACTTCATCAGGGCTCTGGTACCCACTGAGTCCACTTATTGAGTGCCACTTGTGGAGGTGACTGGGTGATGGTGTTTCAATGTGGTCTGAAGCTGTCCACTGGGTGTGCTGGCTCTGGGGCAAGGTCAGCCTCTGCCTGTGTTCTATCCAGGGCCACCAGGCTTAAGCTACAAAGTGATCTGCAGATGGCTGATTCTTGTGCTGGGCTTGGAGGTGCCCAGGAAAAGCCAAGTTGTGAACCAAGGCTGGTTGCTTCTAGTGCCAGGCCTGAGGTCACTTAATGAGAGGTATGGGGCTCGCTGAGACCAGATGCTGCTTGTTTGAGAGATTTTAGAAAACTTTGAAGCAGGATCCAAGACAGGCCAATCCTATGGTAAAGCCTTTGGAAACAGCTTGAGTGAGCCTGGAAGTTGGGTGGGGTGGGGCCTCAGGGAATCATCAGGGCGGGGCTACCAGTGTGAGCCAGGTTGCTGGAGTCCCAGATATCCCAGGAAAGGGCTCACCAAAGGAACATCAGCCTTCGCCAGCACATCTGTTCAGGAAAAAGCTGCCCCTCCAGTCCTCATCCCATGGTCAAACAGCTCAGTTCTTCCCTGTATGTTTCTGGCACCCCTCAAGCTGCCTCCCTTCTGAGCTCAGGAGGAGCAAGTCTGAGTAAGTCTGTGCAAAGGCCCTTTAAGAGAATCTGCTTGGGGCTCCAGCAGTCGCAGCCTCCCTCTGCCTCAGTTCCTATTGGTTTTTCCAGCCAGAAATTATGGGGACTTTTCTTCCTGGCACTGGAACCCTGAGCTGGGAGCCTGGTGTGGGAGGGGACCCCTCACTCCTCAGGGAGGACCTTCCCAGCGAGGTGTCCCTCCTGATTTTTTTTTTTTTATCCTCACCCGAGGACATTTTTTCATTTTTTGTTCAGATAGAGTGGGGAGGGAGAGAGAGAGAGAGGAAGAGAGAGAGAAACATCGATGTGAAAGGGACACATCGAGTGGCTGCCACCAGCATGACCCAACCAGGGCCGGGGACAAACTGCAACCAAGGCACAAGCCCTTAGTGGGAACCGAACCCGGGTCTCTCTGGACCGCAGGCCGACACCCTACCGCTGAGCCAAACCGGCCAGGGCTCCCTCCTGATTTTTATCCGCCACACATGGGTGTGGGACCAGCCCGTCTGCGCCTCTGCCCCTCCTACCAGTCTCAGTGTGGCTGTTTCTTTAATTTCATAGTTGTAGGACTTTCATTCAGCTCGATTTCAGGGGTTCTGAATGATGATTGTGTTATAGTTTAGTTGTAATTTTTTTTTTAATCCTCACCTGAGGACATTTTTCCACTTTTTGTTCAGATAGAGTGGGAGGGGGAGAGAGAGAGAGAGAGAGAAACATCGACATGAAAGGGACACATTGAGTGGTTGCCACCCACATGACCAACCAGGGCCAGGGACAAACTGCAACTGAGATACATGCCCTTAGTGGGAACCGAACCCGCATCTCTCTGGACCGCAGGCCGACGCTCCAACTGCTGAGCCAAACCGCCCAGGGCTAGTTGTAATTTTGATGTGGTTGTGGGAGGAGGCAACACTACGTTTACCTATGCCGCCATCTTGACCAGAAGTCCTCCTGGCTTTTGTTTTTAAAATTCCAGAAGCCTCACCAAATAGAGACCACCCTTTCCACCTCCTCACCCCTCCTCCCAGCACCATGACTCACATTGAGGTATTGCTTGTTGATCATCCTCAAGGTACCAAAGGCTGTCACCTCCATCAGAACCATCAACACCATCTGCACTAGGTTGGTCTTCCCCATAACGGCACCCGCTGAGATTAGCACAGACATTGCACTCATGGTAGCCTGCTGAATACTGGGAAGAGAGGGCGAGAAGGAAGGATGCCTCTCATTTATATTTATTCATTCACTCATTTAACAAAAGCTTGTTGAGAATCTACTTACTCTCTGCCTGGCACTGTTCAAGAAACTCAGGACACAGTAGAACAACATGAAGGCTGCCCAGCCTGGGGTTTCCCCATCTACACTCTAAGAGATTGATCTTTCATCCATACTGAAGAGGCTCAGAGGTTCTCATAGGAATGTTACTGTGAATTACAGGGGCTAAATGTTCCCTTGGGGCTCCCTTCTGGGATCTGACAACTGGGATGCTGCCCAAGGCTTTTCTTCTGCTGTCCTCGCTCACAAATGCTCAATAGAGGGCGCTCTTCACCTGCGGCCTGCCCTGGCCAGCCACCCTCCTTTTCTCCCCCTCTTCAAGGTAGTGGAGAAATACTGGGTTTGGCAGTAGGACAAGCCTGGCTTCCAGTCTCAGCTTTTCCACTTGAGCAGTTATTTAATCTCACTGAGCCTGTTTCCCTATCTGTAGACTAAGAATGATAGTAAAATTACCTCCGTAGTAGGGATTAGAAGGGATATTCGTGCATGTGAGTCTAGCATCGTGAGAGCACAAAGAACTGAGTAGAAGCCTGCATTATTAGCACTCTTACTGATTTCTTCCTCCCCTTGACAAATGAGCAAGCTCAGTGTAGGGATTCAGGAGGAGAAAACAATTTTTGTTTTTGAGGAACTTATGATTCATCTGGGGAGACAGGTCTGACATCATGAACTCTGATATCACTATCCTTGATATAATGTTGCTAGAGAGAGACACTAAAGGGAGAAAACAGTGTAGACTGAACTCATCATGGAGGGCTTCCTGGGGGAGGTGGCACTAACTAGAGCAATCCATGGTGGTTAAACCAACCCATTCTCCCCTGGGCACCTTGCTCTGAGATGCCACTCCCCCTCCACCCTTCTACTGGTGAGTTGATAATGATGATGCTACAACCACCACCACCCCACCACAGTAATAATAATAATTTATTGAGCATCATGTATAACAGGCTTAAACTACATCACCTAATTTATATTTTTTTCAATTGCAGTTGACATTATACATTATTTCATATTAGTTTCAGGTGTACAGCATAGTGATTAGACATTTATATAAATTATGTGGTGATCCTCCCATAATTTCAGCACCCATATGGCACCACAGAGTTATTACAATATTATTGACTATATTCCCTATGCTCTACTTTACATTCCCATGACTGTTTTGTAACTACCAGTTTGTACTTATTAATTCCTTAATTTTTTTTCTTTAAAAAATGTTTTTGTTTTTTTTTTAATTGATTTTAGAGAGAGAGGAAGGGAAGGGGAGAAAGAGATAGAAATATCGATGAGAGAACATCGATTGGCTGACTCCTGCATGCCCCCAACAGAGGATTTGGCCCACAACCTGGGCATGTGCCCTGATCAGGTATTGAACCAGACCTCTAAGTGCATTGGTCAACGGTCAACTGCTGAGCCACACTGGCCAAGCAATCCCTTCACCTTTTCCACTCAGCCTCCCAAACCCCCTCCCATCTGACAACCATCAGTTTGTTCTCTATGTCTATGACTCTGTTTCTGTTTTGTTTGTTCTTTAGATTCCACATAATATGAAGTCATATGTTATTTGTCTTTCTCTGTCTGACTTATTTATTTTTTCTAAACTATTTTTATTAATTTATTTTTGTTACAGATGTTCCCCCCCCCCGCATTGACACCCTCCTCCCGATCCTGCTCCCCCTTGCCCCATCCCCAGCTTTGTTGTCTATGTCCATTGGTTACACATACATGCATATAAGTTCTGTGGTTTATCTCTTCCCTCCCCCTGCACCTCCTCTTCTGAGGTTTGTTAGTCTGTATCCTACTTCTATGTCTCTGGGTCTAGTTTGTTCATCATTTTGTTTTGTTCATTATAGTCCACAAATAAGTGAGATCATGTGATATTTGTCTTTCTCTGCTTGGCTTGTTTTGCTTAGGATAATACTCTCCAGGTCCCTCCATGTCATCTCAAAGGATAAGAGATCTTTCTTTCTTATAGCTGCGTAGTATTACATTGTGCATATGTACCACAGCTTTCTTATCCACTCATCTATTGATGGATGCTTGGGCTGTTTCCACATCTTAGCTATTGTAAATAGTGCTGCTATGAACATAGGGGTACATATATTCTTTCTGATTGGTGTTTCAGTCTTCTTAGGGTATATTCCTAGAAGTGGGATCACTGGGTCAAATGGCAGTTCAATTTTTAACTTTTTGAGGTAACACCATAGTGTTTTCCATAGTGGCTACACCAGTCTGCATTCCCACCAGCAGTGTACTAGGGTCCCCTTTTCTCCACACCCCCACCAGCACTTGTTGTTTGATGATTTGTTGATGGCGGCCATTCTGACAGGTGTGAGGTGATATACCTCATTGTTGTTTTAATTTGTACCTCTCTGATGATTAGTGACGTTGAACATTTTTTCATGTCTCTTGGCCATTTGTATGTCCTATTTGTTTTTTTGTTTTTTTTTTATCCTCACCTGAGGACATTTTTCCATTTCTTGTACAGATAGAGTGGGAGGGAGAGAGAGGAAGAGAGAGAGAGAGAGAAACATCGACGCGAAAGGGACACATCAAGTGGCTGCCACCCGCACGACCAATCAGGGCCGGGGACAAACTGCAACCGAAGTACATGCCCCTAGCGGGAATCGAACCCGGGTCTCTCCGGACCGCAGGCCAACGCTCTAACCACTGAGCCAAACCGGCCAGGGCTGTATGTCCTATTTGGAGAGGCACCTCTTTAGGGCCTCTGTCCATTATTTAATTAGGTTCTTTAATCTTCCTTTTGTTGAGTTGTATGGGCACTCTATATTTTGGAAATTAACGCCTTATCTGATGTATCATTGGCACTTATGCGCTCCCGTGTAGTGGGTACCTTTTCCATTTTGACGGTTGTTTTCTTTGCTTTGCAGAAGCTTTTTAGTTTTATATATATATATATATATATATCTTTATTGTTAAATGTATTACAGATGTTCCTCATTTTTCCCCCATTGACCCCTTCTTCCCCACTCCCGCCTCCCTCCTGCCTTTTCCCTCACTGTTGTCTGTGTCCATTGGTTATGCATATATGTTCTTTGGCTTATCTCCTCCCACCCCGCAACCCCTTTCCCCTTGTGGTTTGTCATTCTAGCAACCAATTTGTACTTCTTAATCCTTCACCTTTTTCACCCATTTCCCCAACCCCCCTTCCATTTGGCAACTAACAAAATGTTCTCTGTTTCTATTCTGCCTGTTCATTTTGTTTGTAGATTCAATTGTAAATAGATATGTATTCATTGCCATTTTGTTTGTTCATATATTTTATCTTTTTCTTCAAAAAGACCCTTCAAACATTTCGTATAATAATGGTTTGAGCCCTGGCCGTTTTGGCTCAGGGGTTAAAGAGCGTCGGCCTGCGGTTCCTAGAGACCTGGGTTCGGTTCCCACTAAGGGCATTTATCTCAGTTGCAGTTTGTCCCCAGCCCTGCTTGGGTCGTGTGGGTGGCAGCCACTGGATGTGTCCCTTTTACATTGATGTTTTTCTCTCTCTCTCTCTCTCTTCCTCTCTCTCCCTCCCACTCAATCTGAACAAAAAAATGGAAAAATGTCCTCAGGTGAGGATAAAAGAAAAAAATAATAATACTGGTTTGGTGGTGATGAACTCCTTTAGCTTTTTCTTGTCTGGAAAACTCTTGATATGGCCATAATTCTAAATGACAGCTTTGCAGGATAGTGTAATCTTGGTTGTAGGTTCTTGCTTTTCATCACTCTGAGTATTTCTTGCCACTCCCTTCTAGCCTGCAAAGTTTCTTTTGAGAAATCAGCTGATAGTCTTATGGGAACTCCCTTGTAGGTAACGGACTGTTCTTCTCTTGCTGCTTTTAAGGTTCTCTCTTTGTCTTGAACCTTTTGCATTTTGATGATGATGTGTCTTGGTGTGGGCCTCTTGGGGTTCATCTTGTTTGGGACTCTGTGCTTCCTGGACTTGTATGTCTGTTTCCTTCACCAAGTTAGGGCAGTTTTCTGTCATTATTGTTTCAATCAGGTTTTCAATTTCTTGTTCTCTCTCTTCTCCTTCTGGCACCCCCAAGATGCAAATGTTGGCACGCTTAAAGTTGTCCCAGAGGCTCCTTACACTATCCTAATTTTTTGGATTCTTTTTTCTTTTTGCTGTTCTGATTGGGTGTTTTTTGCTTCCTTATATTCCAAATTGATGGTTTGCTACTTGGCTTTACCTACTCTACTATTGAATCTATGTAAATTATTCTTTATTTCAGTTAGTGTCTCTTTCATTTCTGACTGTGCATCCTTCATTTCTGACTGGTCTTTTTTTATGCTCTTGAGGCCCTCACTAAGTTCACTGGGGTTCTCACTAAGTTCATTGAGCATCCTTATAAGTAGTATTTTGAACTCAGCATCTGTTAGGTAGCTTATCTCCATTTCACTTCGTTGTTTTCCTGGGGTTTTGTTCTCTTCTTTCATTTGGGACCTGTTTCTTTGTCTCCTCATTTTGGCTGCCTCCCTGTGTTTGTTTCTATGTAATACTTAACGAGAGGTATGGGGCTATCTGAGACCAGATGCTGCTTGTTTGAAAGAATTTAGGAAAACCTGAAGCAGGATTCAAGACAGGCCAAGCCTATGGTTAAGCAAGTGGCAACAGCTTGGGTGGGCCTGTAAGTTGGGTGGGGCGGGGCCTCAGGGAATCACCAGGGCGGGGCTACCAGTGTGAGCCAGGTTGCTGGAGTCCCAGATATGGTGGCTGTCTGCTGCCCCAGGGAAGGGCTCACCAAGGAACAAAGGCCTCTGACAGCACGTTTGTCCAGGAGAAAGCCCCCTCTCCAGCCCTCGCTCCAATGCCAAACAGCTCAGTTCTTCCCTGTATGTCTCTGGCGCCCCTCGAGCCGCCTCCCCTCCAAGGTTAGAGGGAGAGAGTCCGATAAGTCCGTGCCCGGGCCC